ATCCCCCTGGAGTCCTCCCGGTCAGACACGAGCAACATCCGTCGTTGCCTGGCTTACAGCCTCTTCATGAACACGGCCGAGCTGCAGCCGGACGGCACGTACGCCACCACCGATACCCACCAGCCGGTGGCCATCCACCCCTCGTCGGTCCTCTTCCACTGCAAGCCGGCTTGCGTGACGTACAACGCGCTGCTCCACACCAATAAGTGCTACATGCGGGACTTGTGCGTCGTGGACGCCGACTGGCTGTACGACGCTGCCCCCGATTACTTCCGCCAGAGGCTCAGGGCGTCCAAGAACTGACCTGATGAAGGCAGGCTGCTGAGGGATGATGGAGAATCAAAACATTGGTACCCAAATAGAAACTCTGTTTTGCCAGCGGGCTACCCCCTGATAGAAGTTCCAGCCGTTTGATGTCACCTTTAACTACTGCGCATGGCTCCTTCCTGTCAAATATTGCAATCTGGTATTTCTGAAGGGGGTCGAAAATGTTCTGTCGTAGTTCGGGATAGTTCTCTGCATGGCAAAGCTATCATGCAGAGGACACCGGCGGTCTCACCAAATGACACCAGGGTACCCTTTGATGGAGCCGTAATTTGAAAACAAACGCCTGAAATGGTGCAGGGTAGATAACACACTTCTGTGCGAATTGTAGCCTTGTTTGAGGAATGAAGGGGTGCTGGTTTCAGCTTTTGGCTGGGTGTTGAACAAAAAAACGAAGACAACCCAAAGAGCTTTTCAAGACAGGCTTGACGGACCTGTATATTTGCAGATGGCCTTAGGGTGGGCTGTGTAAACACTGTGTGTTCCATGTCTCCGTCCCAGGACTTTGGGAAGAAAAAGACTTTGAAACACTGTCATTTCTAGGACGGAAATGCTTTTCTCTCTCTCTTTTAGCATCTTTTAACTTTAAGTCATTGGAAACATTTCATTGTACTGTTGGCCATGTGGTTTCTTGCCCAGTGCACCCATCGTCTTACAATGGTTCCCAACCTTGGGTAACTCAGGTGTCCTTGGGACTACAACTCCCAGAGATCCTGGCCAGCCCAGCGAGTGACGAAGGCTTCTGGGAGTTGTAGCCCAAGAACAGCTGGGGACCCACAGTTGGCAACCACCGATGGTTCCAGAAGAAGCGTGGGCAAATTGTGAGAAGGGGTTGCCCCCCTGAAACCAGAAGAGGCTGGCAACCCACTGGCCGTTCTGTAAAAACTGGAGGGGACCAAAACAAGGCATGGCGTTTGTTAGTCACCTTTTGTTGGAATATTCATGGCATCTGGAAGTTCATCAGCTCATTTGTGTGTTTGTGTGCGAGGTGGTGGCCTTTGGTCTGCCGACTGCTTATAGGAGGGCATACAGCCAGCGAGCCAGAGAGATCAGGCTGGAACCCAAATCCTTGTGCATAAGATGATTTTATTGCCTTAAGGACGATGTATGATCACTCAATGGTGAAGATAAATGGAATCACTGAGTTATCTGCCTGGCTGTGAATTTATTCCTTCGCATGGCAGAAAGCTGCTGGAATTGGTTTTGGCACCAACCAGTTAAGCTCTGGGAGGGGTCCTGACGTTCAGTGAGAGAACCCCGGTATGGCAGACAGAAAGGTCCAATCTTCAGCAAGAATCGGGTTAAGATGCTTGCCAGTGAAAGCATGCGGTCCTGCGGAATGGACTAATTAACCCTGCCTTTATTGAAGGCAGTACTTGCCACAATTTGTGGTTTTAGACAACTCCCTGAATTCCTAGACCACCCGTTACAAACGGTGGGGGAAATCATTGCTTTATGTTCTTGGAGTTTTGCTTGGGAGGGTTGGGGGGGTTCTCTGTACTCTCCAAATCTGCCCTAAGTCAAAACCGGGAGATCCAGCTTCAAGGCACAAACCAGGCCCGAAACTCACTGGCTGGTCACTTCCTCCCACCTGGATTAAATAACGAAACATCCAGAAGAGTCTTAGGATACCGTGAGGAACAACCGCTTTCGTTTGGTGTTAAGTAAGCGGTTTGTGAACTGCCAGCTTGTGACATCTTTAGAGGTCACCAAAGTTTTTGCTGCAACGGATGGGCCAGGATTCCTCCCCCCCCCCAAACTCACAAAAACATCTCTCTTTTCAACCTCTGTATCTCAGGAAGATGATGAAGTTCCAAGGCAGCTTACATTAAAATCAAATAGTCATGGTCTTTTAAGTTTTTCTTTTCTTTTTGCAGACATTCTGGAGGTCATTCTTTCCCCGGGTTACCACAAGTGTTTTTCGTAGTCATTTTATTTACTATTTTTAAAATATACTTGTTCGTTTAATTCTTTTTAAAAAACATTTGTACACTGTTTGGGGGCTTTGTGTATTGTCCTTTTAATGCTGCGAGCCGCCTTGTGTCCTTTCCAAGGAGAAAGGCA